TTATAGAATCAATACCATTTAAAAAGATTGCAATATTAATTGTAATTTATCAATTATATTTTCTATAAAATAATTATCAACAGTATTAGATTTTAAAATCTATATATTATGCATAATAATATAATAAATAAACTTAATTAACAATAATAAAATATAATATAATTTAATAAATAAATTCAATAATTACATTATTAAATGATAAAACTAGTTGACCTTTATAAGTAAGTAATTGAAAATTTGAAATCTTTACTAGGATAATACAAGAGGTATTAAAAAATGATTAAAAATTATATTAATATTAAAGAAAAATTGTAAAATTAATGACAATTCAACTATTATTTGTTATACTCTAAGATCAATTATAATATTGAAATACATTTTTGTATTTTTTATTGATTGCTTTTCAATATCACAAAGAGAATTAATACTAATTACTATCTTTTTAATAACATTAAATAATTCAATACTTAAGTACTTTAAATACCTGTATTAAATTGAAATAGCAAATACAATTTAACTTAATTAAAATGATTTAAATATAATATTCTAGTCATATATGAATAAGGTTGCTTGTCTAAACCTCTTCAAAATCCTACGATTAGTTTCGTCAAAATTTTACTATAGATTTATTATAGTTTCGGCAGAGTTTCGGCAGTTTCGGCATTTATAATAAGTTTCGGCAGTTTCGCCTTTCTCCAAAGTTTCGCCAGTTTTTTAATATAACTTTAATATAGTTTCAGCAGAATTTCGCTTTTCGGCAAAACGCCATCTTGCCTAAACCCCTAGGTTTCGGCAAGCAACCTTATATATGAATAGCTTTTTGAAAATATACTTATCATAACTTTTCAATATTATTTAAATAACTTAATACTTAATGCATTTTTAGGACTTCATTTACTTATAGTGCAGAACCTTTATACTCAATTACTTATATATAGTAATAATTGATTATTTGATTGATTATAAATTCCTAAAAAAAAATTTTTTTACATTAAAGTAAAAAAATTTAACCAATAATTTTTATAGATATGACCATTAGCTTTAAAAATTATTGGTTATTTTTTTCTAAATTAAATTTTGGTTGAGTTTTAACTATTTAAAAATCTGTAATTTAAATATGTTGATTAAATTTAGTCAAAATTAAGACTAGTTTAAATTTTTGTATTACAGATTTTTTTTAGTCACATTTAATATACAGATTTTTTTTTAATATGCTAAGAAAAAAAAGATTTAATGAATAAGGTTGTTTAAATATAAGTCAATTTAATATTATAGATGATAATTATATACCATTAAGTAAATATTTAAAAGACAATTCAGATTTTAAAAATTAAGTAATTTTACTTTAATTTGGTCAAAAAATGCATATAATAAAATACAAATCTCATTATTGTATATCTAATTTATTAGTTTATAATAAAATACAATGAATAAATATCCTAATTTCTGATTGGTTAATATATGTATTACGTTATCACTAACGTCTGCCACCTTACCTATCAATAAACAAAAGGTATTTACCCTATTATCTTTGTTCTCAACGAAATATTAATATTCTTTTGTTTGGTTTAAATTTATATTTTGTACTTAACTTTCAAACTACAATAGCTCTCATTATGATATTTTATCCGTATTTTAACTTTCAAACTTCGATAGTTCTCATCATAAAAGTTATATATTTTAATTCAACTTATAATTTATACTTTAATAAAATAAAATATCAATTAAATCTCAAGTGAACAATGAGCATATTCAAAATAACTTTTAATAATTAATATTTTTATTAAAGTATCAGGATCATAATAATGTACTTTTTCATCTAAAAAAATAGTATAAAAGAATCAAAATAATTAAATAATGTATATTTATATTTTATTAATTAAAAAGTATTTGAGTTATTCTCAACTACAGAAACTTGATCAAAAACTACTACTACTTAATCTTTTTTTTAGTGATCAAAATTGATGTATCCTAAAAATATTCTGTAATCTAATTCTGTAATTTGTGATATTATTTTTTTAATATGTTGTCTTTCTAATCTGTTATTTTTTAATCTGTTATTCTATTATTTTCTATTCTATTATTCTTTCATCTCTAACCTATAAATAGATCATATCACAATGTCCTATCATTACATTATATCATGTGACTTTTATCATGTAACTTTTATCATATGATCTAATTATAAATATTATATTACTCATAATCACGTAATCTTCTTTTCAGTATTTCATTTATCCATATCTATTCAGTATATTATTTATCTATATTACGCAATTAAGCTTGATATTCGAAGTTACAATGTGATGCTTATATACAGTTAGACCTCTATATACTGATACAATATATACTGATATTTGCTTATACCAATGATTTTTAATTTTCCATTTTTTATCTAATAAAAAAACCTCATTATACCGATTTTTTATATGATTTTACGATATAATGTTATTTGATACTATTCATTTGTTCCTCATATAGTAACGTATATATAGATCTGGTTTATATACCGATATATTAAATATTTAAAGTTAGATTACGTAAATGAAGTTATGTGATTTTTATTTTTCTCAATATCAGAAAAAAGAAAAGCTGTTCAAACTCTTTCACAGCCACGAAAAAGAGAAACTTTAATAAAAGCACAAAAGTATCAACTTTGCTTAGACTATCAGAAAAAACCATGACTTATCCAAGAACAACTTGCTATTCAATATGATATTAAACAGAACACAGTTTCTGATATTTTGAAGATAAAGATAAGTGGTTACTAGAGTTCTGAATGGGTCAGGTCAGGTCAGGTAAATTGATAAACCTGACCTGAAATTTTTTTTTAGGTCAGATTAGGTCAGGTTATATCAGGTTATCTATTTGACCTAACCTGAACTGAAACCTGAAAATTTTCAGGATTTATATTAAAAAAATCAAAAAAATGATGCAAACCATTTTTTTTGAAATATTGTGATTCAGTTTTTTATATTAAAATTGTATAAAAAGGTGAATTGCAATATCACAACTAACTTTTTAAATATAAAATCAATATAAAAAAGTGAATTCTGATATCGCAATTCACTTTTATTATATAAAATCAATATAAAAAAGTGAATCCCAATATCACAATTCACTTTTATTATATAAAATCAATATAAAAAGTGAATTATAATACCATAACTTACTTATTATATAAAATCATAGTTTCAGGTCAATAGGTCATTCAGGTTATATTGATGTTACAATCTGAACTGATTCTGAATTGCAATTGCTAAACCTGATCTGAAAAATTCAGGTCAACCTGTCAGGTTACCTGAATTTGGTCAACCTGTTCGGAACTCTAGTGGTTATTTCTAGATTTAGACTTTGAGGAAAGTAAAAACAAAGAGAAAGACCTATACAATTTCCAGAAGTGGAGAAGGCTATGACACTATAGGTTACAAACGTGCTTAAAACAGATCTTGTTATTAATACTGATATTTTACGTGAAAAAGCAGAATTTTTTGCTAGGAGTTTTGAAGTTAATAATTTTAAAGCTTCTAATGGTTGGATTTCTAATTTTAAAAAATGTCATAACATAAAAGAATATGTTAAATGTGGTGAAGCAGTAAGTGCTCCACTTGAAACTTTAGATGAAGAAAGACAAAAGTTGCATGAAATAATTAAGGATTATGATTTAAATGATGTCTTTAATTGTGATAAAACAGGTAAATACTGAATTTTTCAGATTTTACATGTACTTATTTGTGTTAATATTTTTTTTTTGTTATTTTAGGTTTATATTGGAATCTTGAATCTTCAAAAACTCTAGCAAGAGGTCTGCTCTCTGGAAAAAAAAAATCAAAAAAAAAGTTACAATTCTTTTTACATATAACGTAACTGGAACAGAGAAATTAACGCCATTTTTTATTCATACCTCTAAAAATCCACAAGCACTAAAAGGTAAAAAAAAGATGATTTGCCTGTTAATTATTATTGGAATAAAACAGCGTGAATGCAGGTCTCTATTTGGAACGATTATCTCAAAAAATTGTATACAAAAATGCGATTGCAAAATCACAAAATTCACAAATGAAAATACTCAATTAACAAATGTAACTCTACATTTTTTACCACCAAATACTACTTCTCATTTGCAACCATGTGATGCAGGAATCATTAATTCCTTTAAGGTTAGCATTTTTTTTTTCTTTTATTATTTTTTAATGTTTTAACATACACTCACTTAATTTTAGGCGAAGTATTGAAAACTTCTTGTAAAAAATAGGGTTGAAGCATATGAAATCTCACAGCAATTGAATAAAGGAGCCAATTCTTTAAATATTCATGATACTATTGTTTTTTGTACAAATGCTTGGAATGCAGTAACACAAGAAATAATTTATAATTGTTGGAAGCATACAGGTATACTTCCATTAGTAAATCAAGAGGAAGTGGATGAAAGTGTTAATCAATTAGAAGAAGATAATCAAGTGGAATGGGAAGAAATACAATTTCTAATTGATCAACTCCCATTTGATGATTATATGGACGCCACAGATGAATTTATTTATGTTGATGATGTAACAAAAGGCTAACTGATGAAGAAATTATATCTTTAGTAAATTTAGATAAAAATGAACTAAAAGTTGAATCTGATAAAGAAATTCCATCAGTAATTTCAAAAGTTCAGGCCTTAAATAATTTGGATGATTTTGTTATGTTTTTTAAATCTTCATCATTAAATACACAGGCAATCTCGATAAATCAGATCCTCGATAAACCAGATTTGGCACTATTTTGGATTTTTCTTCTGAAACCAAATCATTTATATTAAAACAATCTTGATATATCAGACTTTATTAGTAAAATCTCGATATTTCGTAAAATGGATTTTATTCTAGATCAACTATAGTTAAAAAATCTTGATATGATGTATTAATTTTTTCGAAGTCCGAAATAATTATGTCAATCATTTATTAATTAGGCAAACAATTTTTCTCACTGTTTTTTTTTTCAAACTATACTTTAGCATGAGAGAAAACAAAGATACGAATAATAAAAAGAAGAAATTTTTAACATTAGCTCAAAAGAAAGAACTCTGCAAAAAACGAAGAGATCAAAAATTTAGTGGTGTTAAATTAGCAGCACAATATGGAATTTCCACTAGCACAGTTTCTGATATTTTAAAAGGATTAGAATATTGGCTTTCCATTGATACCACTTTACCAAATGCAAATAATTTTCGTGAAAAATCTAGTGTTTATCCACAATTAGAAGAAGTAATGAGCATTTAGGTTGATCAATAAATTTCAAGAAATTTAATTATAAATGGGCCTATTATCCAACAAAAAGCAGTAGAGTGTACTAACTTACTTGATATCACCAACTTTTCAGCATCTGCAGGATGGTTAAGCAACTTTAAACAGAGAAATAATTTGCATATATATAAAAAAAAGGAGAAGCTGGCAGTGCTCCTATTGATAAACTTCTATAAATGAGAGCTGAATTACGAGAAATTCTTCAAGCATATGAACTAAAAGATATCTGGAACTGTGATGAACCATCCAAAACAATAGTACATGATCCTGTACTTCAGTTGGTAAAAAACGTCCTAAAGAATGTGTTAGTATTTTGGCAACTTGTAATACTTCTGGTGATGAAAGATTGCCTTTAGTTTTTATTCATAAATATGAAACACCATGTGCATTAAAGGGAATTGAAAAAAAATCTTTCCCTGTTTGATATTATTGGAACTCTAAAGTTTGGATGCAAAGGAGTATTTTCAAACATTATCTTGAAAGATTAAATTCCAAAATGCTTAAAGAAAATCGGCATATTATTTTACTAATAGATAATGCTAGATGTAATAAATCTGAGAATATCAATAGTCTTTCAAATGTTAAGGTTCATTTTTTACCACCAAATACAACATCATTTCTTCAACCATTAGATCAAGGTATTATTTATAGTTTAAAAGCACAATATCGCAAATTGTTATGTCAAAATCGTATTCAAACTTATGATTTTTATGAAGAGGGAGACCCCATTCCACCCCAATTGATATTTTTGATTCAATCAATTTAATTGCAGATGCCTGGAAAAAAGTATCTAAAAAAACAATTCTTAACAGTTGGGTTAAAGTTGGAATCCTTTCCAATAATAATATGGAAGATTCTGAATGTTCAGACAATTCTGATTATGAAGAAGATAATATTGGACATGAATTACAATTATTAATTGATAAGTTAGGATTTGTAGATCCTTTAGCTGTGAATGACTATATTAATATTGATAATAGAGCATCTGCTGAAGAGGAATTATCATTACAAGAAATTGTTGAAGTTGTAAAGGGAACAAATGAAAGGGAAATTGAAGAGAAAGAGGAGCAAGATGAAATCTCTACAATAGTTGAGTTAAATAGCATTGAAAATGTAATTAAATATATTCAACAAAAAGATTTAGAAATTGGTAATTTAGAAATGAAAAATTTAATTAAATTGAAAAAAAGGATTTTTTTTGATAATATAAATGAAAAAAAGGCAAAGTAAACTAAATGAATATTTTGATTTTAATGTATGACAGATAGTTCTTTTATAATAATAAAATTATATTCATTTTTGAATAAAATTTTGAAAATTTTGAACAAAAAATCACGTGATTTCTTGGTATTTCAGATTTTTCATATATTTTTATATAAATCTGGTTTGGTGAGATTTTTTCGATATATCAGATGTCTTGATATATCAGATATTTTTACTGGAACTAACTGATCCAATTTATTGAGATTGCCTGTGTAATTCTATTAATCAAAGTGAATTAAATACATTACAAAAATTAAGACATGAAGTATTAAGATCACATATCATCAATTTAAAGCAGACTACATTAGATAGTTATTTTACTTCTAATTCTAATAACGTAATTATATAATTGATATTTACTTCTAATCCCTAATGTAATACATGATTGATATAATTGATACAATTTTGTTAATAAATTTTTTGAATTTTATAAATATAGAATAAAGTTGTATATTTATATATATTAAAATATTTATACTGATATTAATCACGTTACTTATAATAATATTAGTATACAAAATTTTTTTTATAAACTGATAATTCGATATACTGATGCTTTTTCCTCAAAACAGTAATATCGGTATATAGAGGTTTGACTGTAATCTGAAAAATTGAGACTTTTTTTTTATTTTATAAATCAATTCCTTTTAATAAATAAAGTTTAAATTTTTTTATAAAATTAAAATCCAATCATAGAATCAAATTTTATTTAAATTTTTTAAAGTTCCTATTATAAAGGTTCTGCACTGTATAAGATAGGTTACTTTCAGGTTTAAAGATATATAAAATTCTTTGCAAATTCTATTATAAAAGAAAATTTTATATTATATTATTATGATTTTTTTCCTTTTTAGCTAATTAACCAATAGAATTTAAGAAAAAAATAAGGTAAAAATCATTAGTAAAGGATTAATTTTCTATAGTGATTTTTACTATAAATAAGCAAAATCCTGTATTTTTATATAAATAAAATATCCTATTAAAAGATAGAAATACTTCACCTAATTTGTTTTTAAGATATTTAATAATATTTTGTAAATATAAAAAAAATAAACCAAATTCTGAATCAGTTTAAAATACTTTTGAAGTTATTTTATTAGTTATTTATATTAAACATTTTAAAATCTAAATACATGTTGATGCTATTTTATCTTCTATTAAAGTATTAGCTAGGATCCACCTATTATTAAGATAGTTTACATATAAAACTTTTTAAAAATTTTACTATAAAAGAATATTTTATGTTACATTATTATAATTTTTTTTTTTAATTAATTAATCAATAGAATTTAAGTAAATTCTAAGGTAAGGTTTCATATGAAAGTAAAATTTCTACTAGTAACATATCTTAATAGTAACCTAATAGGTAGAATTCTTATTAGCTATATTTTAAAATTTTTCATTATAAAGACATTCAAATATATATTATATTTGTTAGTTTTACAGATATTATTATTTAATATTACATTATAAAATTTTTGATACAAATTGTTAGAAAGCATATGCATTAATGTAGAACAAATTAATGACAAAATCTTAATTTATGATTGGTAAGTTGAATTTTTAGTGAAAATCCCTTCTTTATAAAGCATAGTTTCTGTAAGAGAAAATATAACCATTTTAATGGTATTTTTTAAGATTAAATTAGCAAGAGAATAATGATAAGATTTTCTTTTTAAAAAAAAATATTTTTGAGAAAAATATTTCTTTGTTTTGCAACTACTATCTCTGTGAATCCAGTGTAATAGGTACGTTTATTCACTAATTTTAGGTTATTTTATTTACCTGCAAATCAAAAAGCAATCAGATCAAGAGAACATATATAAGTAGGAGAAAATATATATAGAAGCACTTATTTTCTTTCTCACTTCATCATTATGGACTCAACCAATACTTTTGAAATTCAAACAGATACTTTTGAGCCTTTCCAACTCAAAGTACTTGCATTAAATTATCTTCAAAATCAAGAGATTTCAACTATTCTCACCAGTATTCTGAAACTCAATTCTTGCAGTATTTACCAAAAAGTAATCCTAAAATTCTGATTCCAATCATTTGTTGTGTTGGATTGTGAATACCTTTTTCATAGGACATATCTTAAGAAGTATATTATGTAAAGAGAAACAAAATACCTTTTTTGTCCTTTGTGTTCTGTGACAATTTATTTGGTTAAAGAAGAAGCAGTAGTGGCCTCTAGTAAATATCACTTTCAGAAAAAATAAACTGATACTGGACAGGATGATGAAGAGCTCATGACTTCACTAGAATTGGTAAAAGGTGGCTTTCAGAGGTCAATCGAAATAAGTCACTATGTAGAATCAGGTAATAAGCAATCATAATTGAGGATGATACTTCTGAAAATAATGATGATGAAAGAATACCAGATGCATCAAACCGCTCTGCCAATGTACAAAATAATTTGGAAAATACATCTAATGAAAATAGTGAAAATGATTTTCAGAATTCAGCTACAAATGATGGAAATAATATTACTTAAATTGAGATGTTCATTAAAACATTTATCAAGACAATTAGTTACCTCTAGAAATAATAATCAGGAGCACAATATCTTGTAAGGCTTATTGCAAGAATTATCTATGCCTGTTAGGGAAAATCTGCTGAAAATAATGATGTATTCAAGAATGATTATGGGTTTTAATACCAAAGACTTTAGCCCACTTGTTTCAAAAAGCTTGTAAAGCAGAGACACGTGTTATGAGAAGAAATTTCATGTTGGTATTACTATGAAAAGGCATATGAAGAGAGAATTAAAGAGATCAAGAACATTTAGAGAGAAGTTAGTAATCAATCAGTAAGAAATCAAGTGTATGATGATATAATGGAATATCTCACTGGCAAATTTACTAAGAATACTTTGTGTAAAAAAATTCAAAGGGCTGTGAAGATTTTTAAGTTATTCCAAAAGATTGGAGTAGATAAGATTAAACAGGTTATATTATAATAATGATGATAACTAAAAAATCAGAGAATTTTGGAAAAATCAGAACTTTTTGGTAATTTTGTAAATAAATAACTAAAAAATCAGAGAATTTTGGAAAAATCGGAACTTTTTGGTAATTTTGTAAATAAAATTTACAATTTTTATAATTAAAATATTGACAAATTTATAGAAGATAACTGGTTGGACTGTGACTTATCCTTCAGAAAGGATTTACCTGAGAATAGCGATTTCACCGTTCTTCTAAGTAGGTAGTAGAACATGATTTAATGCAATAATTATCTGTTCCATTTACTAGTATAGACACAAAAATTTTGCTTACACGCCAGTAATCGATAAAAAATAACAATTTTCTGTTACAGCCAAATGTATAATCTATATGTTTTAAAAAGCTGTTCGTTCTAATTATGAAGAAATTTTACATTTGTATGACTTTACAAAAAGTTATGAAGGAATTAAATCTGCATTTTTAAGATAAAAAAAAATTATCTAGCATTCTAATCATTAAACAAATTGAGCAAATTTAATAATTATAATGGACAATAGTTTTAATTATATATTATATAGTATGTAATATATTCAAAAAAATCCAAGTAATGATTACTTAAGTAACAATTACCTAGGCAATAATCATCCAGGCAACATTTAGTAATTCTTGATTCTTAGCGATACTGATGAAAATGGTCAAAAAATAGTTCTCCAAAAAAAAATATTAAAATGGTAAATAGAAAATTGTAATTTTTTGGTTGTAATGTTTATGAAAAAGAGTTTTACATTAATTTTCTTTTTAAATTTATATTTGTATTTTTTGTTTTAGATATTTTAAAAGTATTTAATTTACAAATTAACATAAAAAAAAATATTTATTTTTAATATAAATAGTAATACATATACTGTGATACATATAAAATAATAAAGAATATAAAAAAAATCAGCTTATATAAAATATTTAATATCCTAAATATTATTACTATTAATATTTAAATTATTAATGAGATTAGTTAACAATGTTTTAACTTCTTTAAGTTCTTGTTTAAGTTCATCTTTTGTTTGTTCAAGTTTATCATAAAGTTCATCTTTTGTATGTTCAAGTTTATCATTAAGTTCATCTTTTGTTTGTTTAATTTTGTTTTTAATTTTCTTTTTAGGTTTTTGAATTTTCATTAATTCTTTTAATTTCTTACTGATGAATGGAGGAAAATTAAATTCAGTTTTACCGTTATCAATTGCATAAATTAATTTATAAACATTATCAGTAGGTAAATTATAATAACTAAAATATTTAATAAATTTGAATTAGAAAAATCTTTAAATATAAAATATATTTGATATTAACAAATTTTATACATACATCCAGTCCGGAAACCAATCTTTTTTATTTCTTTGAGAAGGTAACATATAAAATAATTCAATATCCATGATAATCTTTTAAAGTTATAATAAAATTATATTAGAATTTGAAAAATCCATTCAATCAAATATTAATATTTATAATAAAATGATAAATAAAATAAATACCTTTGCTTTTGAAAGTAAAAATTCTTCATGTTTGTTATAATTGTCAATTGCCATACCAAGCAATCCAATAAACAAGTTCATCAGATAAATTGATGTAAAAAATGTGAATACAAATAATAAAAATGTCACTGTAGGATTATCAAGATAAGTCCATGCTGATAAAGATCCAGAATCACCTATAAATATGTAAAATTAAATTAAATTAAAAATTCGAATAATAATAAATTTTAAGTAATTGATAAATTATTTACCTGTAAGCAACAAATACATTGCAAAAATTGAAGTTTGAAACCAGGTAAACATATTTGTATTTGAATCAGGAATTTGGATTAATGAATTATCAGGATCTATGATTCCATCTTTCAAATAATTATATTTAGTAGCAAGATTCCATGGATTATTATTATCTTCATTAAAATCAGGCCTATCTAACGAAATATTGGTAATTGGTCTTAAGAGAATAAAAAAGCCAAATCCAAATCCAAATATAATAAAGCATAAAACAATTAAGAATGGAAAAACTTCTTCAGCAACGCCAATAATTATGGCAAAATATTTTCCATATGATTCAAATACTCTAAAAAACATTAAAAATTTAAAATTTAATACGATAATAGTAATGGCTGCAAGTTCAAGGAGTTGACCATTAATAAGCCAATATATGGATGTTATAACAGGTAAAGAATATGCGGCTATATCTATTAATAATAAAAAAATATTAATATTAATATTTTTTAAAAGAAGTAAAAAAGTAATTATTATATAAATTTAATTACCGAAAAAATTCCATGGATCTTTAGTATAGTATCTTGGATTCCATAACAATTGCCGAAATTCAAAAAATAAATGTATAAAACCAAATAAAATTGATATTATAAAAAGTATTTTTCTATATAATTCATCACTAAAATTTAATGTGACAGCTAATGCAAAACAAAGAACAAAAATAGCATAAAAAAACCAAATTAACAAATAATAAAATATTCCAAAAGTTTTCCATTTAAAATCTATAATAGCAGCAAAATTCCACCATTCATAAGAGTTACTACTATCTATACTATAAAATAGAATAGATTTTGGTTGGTATAACATGTCATTCCAAGTATTATCATTCTTTTGATATTTACAAAGTTTTGGAAAAGGAACAATAAAACTAATTGTTGGAGTTAAAATTTTTTCCGATCTTAACTTATGATAAAATGATGAAATTTGAGTTCTTAAATAATGACCAAGATGGCTCAAGTTTTTGTAAAATGATAAAAGTAAACTTTTAAAATAACTATTTGATAAAATTATTTTTTTAACATAAATATCTTTTGAGTATGCATAAAGTGAAGTATTTGATAAATTTTTAACTGACAAACAAGAGGGATCTAATAAAATAATTGTATGTAAGATATATGTCGTTACTAAATTAGTATAATGAAGATCACATAATTTAGGTAATTTTAAACAAATAAAAGGTAATAATTTCATATATAAACTGTAATCTTCCTTTTTAATTAAATCAAATATTTTTTCAAAAATTGATTTAAGTGTTTTATCACCAGTTTTTCTCATATCTTTATCACTTGATTCACTTGATTTAACTGCGTTGATTGCTATGTCTAATATTTCTGATATAAATTTTGGAAAATCATCTCGATCATTTATAATACCCAAAAATAAATCATCACGTTCTGAAAATTCCACCATGCAAAATTTCAAATTTGGTAAGGGTAATGATTCTTTAAATTCTTGTTTTAAAATTCCCCGAATAATTTTTTTATACTCAACAAGTACATTATCCTCAACAAGTACAACTACATTATCCTCATTATCCTCACAATTAAATTCTTGTTTTAAAATTCCCTGAATAATTTTTTTATACTCAACAAGTTCATTATCCTTACAATTCTTATTATAATCTATCAATTCCTTATTACTCCAAAGGTATCGAAGTCTTAAGAAATCTTCAACAATTGTATAAATATAGATTCCATAAGTAGTAATTAAAGCCAAACCCTGGTTATTTAATTGTATACATGATACCAATATACCATTAGCAATACTACTATTTGATGTCTTTTTCCATTCATTATTAATTTGTGTAAATCCTTTAACTTCAATTTCGTTACCATAACCTCTCACTAAATTTTCAAGATTAAAATGAAAATTTTTACCATCTGTTAATTTAATTTTATTACTTTTTGGAAAACTATGAATCTTGCCTTTAATAATATCATTAAGCATATCTTGTATAGTTTGGAAAATAGGTAAAGTATAAATATTACTATGACAAGTCTTGTTTAACATTTGTTGAAATGTAGTCTCATTCACCCAATCTGTGACCCAAACATGATTTTCTTTAACGTGAAATAATTTGTTTGAATTAAAAGTTATTTTAACAGGACCACTGATATTGGTAATATTATCAGTAATGTCGATTGCAACTTGGTTTTCTTTTTTAGTGTGATATTCAGCTAAGGCTTTCTTAGATTGTTCTTTCACTTGGGTTTTTTCTTGGCTATTTTCAGAAGGATGAAAAGGATCTAGAGTTTTGAAATGGTTATGGTTACTGTATGAACAAATAATAAATCTTTCAGAACCATCCTTTAAAGTTAAAAAGTCCACTGGAAAATAATTTTCAAAATCTGTAAATAAAAAATAAAATATAATTAGATCATTTAAAAAACTAATATCACGAAAAAAAAAAAATAATAATAAGTTACTAACCATATCTTGAAATACATAATCCAGTTTCCATTGAATATATATAAATTACATTAATCTCATCAACTTCACCACATGCTGCTAATAATGTTTTATTTTTGTTTATCTTTATATATTTTAACTTCTCAAGAAATAAATTGTATTGCATTTCAGGTTTTTCAAATGTTGTAACTGTTGTCGTTTCCGATAATTCCCATTGAACCAGATGACCATTGTTAAAAAGGAATAACTTTTGATATTGTATAAAGCAATTAATATTATTATGTTCATTTAAACTTTTATGAAATTTTATTTTGTACATTTGAGAATATTCCAAAAGAGTTGCGTTTTTTGAATTGATTGAATACAAGTAAATTTTGTAATCTTTTAACTTTTCATCTAATGACGTTATAATTAAATCACCATTAGAAGTGAACCCTATCCAACGTTCATAGGTGAATAATTTATCTACATGTTTTAGTTGAAAATTTTGACCTTTTTTATCACTTAAATCAATAAAGTTATGTTTTACAATACGATTGTTCTCGCTATCATAATCATAGGATAAAAAAGATTTTTTATAAAATTTAACTTTATTATATAATTGACCAACCTTAAAATAAACATTATTATCGAGTAGTTGTTGCCAATTCCCCTCAACATTAACTAACCATCCTTGAATTGATTCATCTTCCACACTGTAAGAAATAACATATGAATCATCTTGAGAAATAAAAAGTTTACTAATTTTTTTCCCATTATGTGGTTTATAATCATCAGTTACTTTCTCATTATGTGGTTGAATGAGATCAAGATCATCTCTTTTCGTATCAATTATATCTATCGCGGTTTCCATTGTCAATGTATCAAAATTTTTTATTTGACAAAAAAAAAATATATATATAAGAGCGCTTTTTTTTATAAATTTTTAGTTCAGTCCAAATTGTTGTCAAAAATTACGCCATACATGATCTGGAGCATGGTAAAATAATCAAAACGGGATTTTGATGCATAACGCCTTTTTAATTTAGCCTTACTATTTATATGCATGTGGTGATTTTTGGTATACCGCCTTTTTGGTTTAGCCTTACTATTTATATCAAGTACAATAAAACAATAAAAATTTTTTTATTTGACAAAAAAAAAAAATAAGAGCGCTTTTTTTACAAATTTTAGTTCAGTGTAACGAAGGCTACGTAAGGTGATATGTCTGAGTTCCAGAATTTTTTGATAATTATTTTAGTTCATTAGATTTATTGATAAATGAAGCATTTGCTTCGTATAATTATGTACAATATCATATCAACAAATTATTTTTCATTTTTTTTTGGATAGAAATTTATTAACGGCTTGTTATTATTTAGTTACTTAATCAATCAATTCATCTAACTTGGAAGTCTTGTAAACCTGTACTGTACGCATGCAATTCATTTTTTGTATATTATGGTTAGTCTTTTTTTGATAACAAGACGTTATTAAATATAAATGGTAAAATTAGTCCGTATCATTTTTGAAATCGGTTACCCGGGTGAATCGCACAGTATAAACAGGTTTTAACACGCAAAACTGGCCAAAAAAAATTGTTAATTGTAAAGGCTAAATCAAAAAGGCGTTATACCAAAATCAGTGATTTGGAAGTCCAAAAGTACTTCCAATTTTCACTAGATATAAAATTTATATGTTTCTATGTGCATTGGAAACTTTCAATGATTTTTTATTGGAATTGGAAGTATTATTGGAATTGAAAGAATTGGAAGTTCCAATTTCCAATGTACATCACATGCATATCAGTAACAATACCACTTTGCGTAGCCTTCGTTACACTGAACTATTGTACTTAATATAAATAGTAAGACTAAATCAAAAGGCGTTATATCAAAAATCACCACATGATAATCATTACACTGAACTATTGTACTTAATATAAATAGTAAGGCTAAATCACCACATGCATATCAGAGAGCATCAAAATCCGTTTTGATTGAAAAATTATAAAACGACAAGCAAAGAGAAAAATTTCAGACTTTTCAAGTCTCAATCGTCTCATTGTGACTTTCTTACATACAGATTATAATATGAGTAATAATATCGATGAATTAAGAATTGCCACCGGAGCAGCAATTGCTGGGATGGTAGCTGTATGTGGTGCAACAGAATGGAATCAATGGTATCTTATTATTATTGACAAAAAAGAAAAAAAAGAACAAAGTATTAAAGATATTAGAAGAATCGTCACATCATCCGATGATGGTAAACGATATGTTACCGAAGAAGTTAACAACAAACATATTACCACTTCAACTGAAGGAAAATACATTACCAAATTTACTTCTGGTGGTGAAGATATTATAGAATACATTACGACTTTAACCGGTGGGGTTATTACTAAAACGACAATTAACGGTGAAGAGTATGAATTTATTACAAGCGAGCGCGTCAAATCCCAACCTGAGCCCGAACTTGAACTCAAACCCGAATCCGAATTTGAGCCCGAACCTGAATCCGAACCTGAATCCGAACCTGAACAACCTGAACTCGAAAGAGAATATATTACCAAATCAGAAAAAAGCAAATATATTATAAATACAATAAATCCCCAAGAACATGGTCGTAGATTCGGTCCTGGTAGGAGGATGCCGGGCCAGGAAAGGGAGGATATAACTTTTGATTAAAATGATTTAACCATCTGTTTTTATATCTAAATTATTTTGAATTATTTCTATTTTCTTTTATCTTTGTATTTAATTATCATTTTATGAAATAAAAAGTGTTTTTTTTTATTTTACTATAATTATATTGGTGTTTTACTAAGATTCATGGTAAAACTAACATCATCGTATTTTGTTAAAAATTTTGTTAAAGAAATAGTTATTAAATGAACAACTTGTATTACTTATATCCTGGCTAATTAGGAATAAGTAAAATTTTACTAGGATCGGATAAATGATCGGCCGATAGGCCGATCATGTTCCGATTCTAAAGTAAAATTTTACTATTCCAATTAGCCAGGATATAATTGATTTATCCCCTGTCATTTACGTAATCAAAGCTTACTAATAGTCTAATAGTCTAAAAAGCCCCAAATTTAATTTTAAAAGCTTATTTCTCCTTTTCTCTATATTAACATGGCTAGTTTTATGAAAGCTTTCGAATTATTGATTTCAAAAAATAATACTGTTATTTTAGACGAACTAAAAGAAAAGTTAAGTCATATAGAAAATGCACAACTTTCTGAAATATACAAAGAACCTTCAAAATCATCCACTTTTAAAGAAACATATAACCGTCCTTGTATAGAAACTTTACAAAAGTATGCTACAGTTGCAAAACCTAAAAATACTCAACAAAATACACGTTTATGGTTTTCTAGATTTGACGAATTTGTAAAAAATACACAACCTGCTATAGATTTACTTACTCTTTATGATAAAAAGGTTATTGCACTACTTTTATGTGAATTTATAATAGTTATAAAAACAAGGGAGAATAAAGAATACAAAGCAAACTCTTTATACAATGGGATATGTGCTATAAATAGGTTCTATCAGGAAATATTTAAAACTAATGAATCATTTAATATACATGAAGATCATGAGTTTAGATCTGTACATGATACTTTACATGCTAGAATGATTGAATTAGAAGAAATTAATAATGGCGATTATAATGGAGCTGATCCTCTTACTAATGAAGAAATGATCCAAATATTTGAACATCCTGATATGTCAAATAATATGCCAGATGGACTATTAAGAAGGGTCTTTTTATGGGTTGGATGTTGTACAGCACGGAGAGGTGGATCTTACCATAATATTATGGCTGAACATTTTAAAGAACGAGATGATGGTGGATTTAATGTTATAACAATTCACGATAAAACTCATCAAGGTGGGTATTACCATAAAACAAATTCTAATCAACATCCTATACATATTATTCCATCAGATGAAATAGGGGTACATGGCGCATGCTGTGATATCAAGAAATATTTAAAATTGCGTCCAAGAAATGCTGAAGCAAATTTTTTTCTTCGCATAAATAAAGATCCTAAAGGTATTAATTTATTTCCTAAATTACACATTTAATAAAACTAGTAATCATTGATTAAAAATTATATTTATTGTTTAGAAATTGAAAATGGAAACTGGTATACTACTTCTCATATGGGTCGAGACAAATTATCTGGAATGTTAAAAGAGATCTGCAATATTACAGGAATTGATTGTACAAATAAAAGAATTGTAAATCATTCATTACGAAAATATACTGCTCAGAAATTAAATGACGAGGGATTAGATTCACAAGCAATAATGAACGTAACATTACATCGATCTTTAGCAGGATTAAATGCGTAAGTAACTATTAATTTATTAATTTTATGTTGCTACCAAATTATTAATTTGTCTTGCTTATTAGATATCGAAAACAGAATGAAAAACAAAAGCTAACTATCGCTAAGTTAACCCTCCCAAGTGTTTCTAAGGTATATTGACTATATTGTTATTAACCATTGAAATAATTTTATTTAAATATTATTAATTATTTTGTATATTTTATTTACAAGGATGTGCCAGAAAATTTTAATACAACAGAAAATTCAAACGTGAAAAAATCCAATGCAAAAGAAAACCTTAATGAAGCAGCAATTTCTAATGCTGAGGAAATTGATATATCATCTGAAACAGAAAGGGAACCACTATCTGAAATCCAAAATACAGTTCCTTCAAAACGTAAAAATGACTTACTTTTTAACAATAGTAAACTTAAATTTATTAAATGTAAAAACATTACTATTAATATCACAAAATAAATTATAGTTATTATATGTACTGGAAATGGAAATGCATAAATAAATATATATGAATTGATCGTCTAGTAAGCATAAATCACTTGCATAAGCATAACCACGTAAATGATGTTGATCAGGGGATAAGACAAATTAATTTCTACATTAAAACATAATTCCTGATTAAATTTTTTTCCTAGTAATTCAACTTTTTTTTTTTCTTCTTGAACAACTCTTGGACATTCTAATGTTTCGTTTATTTCTTTTATTAGGTTTCAGAGAGTATAGTTAGCAGAACTTTGAAGGTATTTATTTACCTTTTATTTATTTTTGAAAAGCGTAATGCGTTTCATTTTTTTTTTTTTGTAGGTTTTTGCCAAGAATACTAATTCCATCCAATGCATTCACTACTTTGACTTTATTGTTACTGACTTTACCATTTTTTAATAATTCTATATATCCATTTAATTTGTTTTAATGCATTATCCAATATGATTTGTAATGTAACGATCTGATAATTATTTTTTTCTGAACAAAAAAAAATAATAATCCATGTTTAATAATTCATTTTCTGGTTTATTTTTTAATTCATTGTCCAATGCCTTTAATGAATCATAATCAATATTTTTATTCACTTTCTTCGTTTCCCCCACATTGATATAACTTTTAATTCAAGAACTAAATTTGATTTCGAAATGATTTCCTGTTGTTCCCTACTACATCAACATACAAGTAGTACGTAATAAGCTCATATTTATAATATTATTAAATTCATCATAAATATTTATTTTATTTAATTAACGAATGAATTAAAATCGTAACTTAACTTTTTCTTGATTTATAAAAATATCATTAAGGGAGCTTACACATATTATGTAATTATTATAGGGGGGGAGGGGGGTAGTTAAAATTTTAAGTCTGTCTCTTATACACATCTAGATGTGTATAAGAGACAGATTTAAAATTGCGTCCAAGAAATGCTGAAGCAAATTTTTTTCTTCGCATAAATAAAGATCCTAAAGGTATTAATTTATTTCCTAAATTACACATTTNGGGGGGGGGGTAAGGTTTATAAGAAAATGAATATTACGTGATATGTGTAACTCCCCTAACCTGACCTGCGAATAAATTAAAATAGAAAAATCATTTATTTAATCAAAATAAACTTTACTTGAATTAATATCTTTTATAAAATTGTGAAGTGATACAACTGGACCAGTCTTTAGACTAGTTCTATAAAGATACTTTCTTTTTTAAAGTGAGAAAGTTTACGTCCAAAATTTTATTGTTTTTAAAATAAAAAATCTTCATCAAGCTGGAATTTTATATTATGTTTCTTTAAAAATTTCATATATAATAGCAGAATGATCCAGTAAATTAGAAATATCTTTAATTTCCACTTGTGAAAGTTTCAAAGACTTGAAGTTGTTCTTTAAAAGTGAAAATAAATAATAAATCTTTTTCTTCCATGTTATTATGTTAAAATAGACTGATGATCATGAGTAAATAATTTGAAAAAAAATCACTGTGTAACTAGGATCTGCTTACTTATAAGATAGGTCACCGAAAACCCAAGGTAATTGAAAATTTTTAAAGATCCTACTATATATAGATAAATTACACCTAAAAAAGAAAATGTTACACTAAGTTGTTATGATTTTTTTTCTTTTTAAATCAATTAATCAATAGGATTGCTGGTAAAATTACTAGTAAATTTGAAATTTTTTCCAGAGACTTTTATTAAGAATAAGCAGAATCCTGTATAATCCAGAAGGAATGGCTATCACTTTCCAATAAATTTTCTATGTACTTACGTGAATTTTGCATTAATTCTAAAAAACTTGTAAAAAGTTGGAATTCAATTTACTTAATTTTTATATAATTTAAAGATTTTGATGGCTTCTTATTATGATACAGAACCTTGCTTACTTAAAATTATATAATGCAATTATCTTGACTTCTAGTGATCCAATTTTAATAAACTTTTTTTTTAATTTATAGTTTTCATTTAGCTCTACAAATCTAGCTTTATAAAACAAAAAAAAAGTTTGTTCAAATTGAATCACTAGAAGCCAAGATATTTGTATTTACATTATAATAATTATTATAATTAAAGCTCTAAATGGTCCAGATTGGTCTGGGTTGAAAAGTAACCCAGGACCAGACCAAAAAATTGCTTTATTTCGGTTTGATCCAGATTATGTTAAAAAGATAATCCAGGATTGGACCAGACCAGATCAGTTATTTAATTCAGTCCAGTCTGATTCTATACTAAAAAATCTGAAATTCTGATTGGCTGTTATAATATCACGTGACCAAAATTAAAATTTTTATCAAAATTATAACTGTATTCTAATTCCATAATTCTGGCTCTGTAGCAATCTACCTGACATGTATAACTTTGATTTAAGCCTATATTCGCTTCATGTAACGTATATACTATATAAGGAAATTATGCGTCTTTATGCACTAATATTAGTATATTACACAAAGTGAACATATGCTTAAAACAAAATTACACATGTTAGAAAGATTGCTATATATGGAGCCAGAATTATAGAATTAGAACACAGTTATAATTTTGGTAAATTTTCGGTCTGGTCTGGTCTATACTTATCAGCAGAATTGAATTTTTGAATTATGACAGACGTAATTAAAATGCCGTAATTTGCTGTAATTATATGTTTTATTAGTAAACATTTGTACTGACGTAATTGTTTTTGGCTATGCTGTAATATTTTGATATTGACTTTTTAATTCTACTGAGAAGTATAGTCTAGTCCTAGGGATTCCTTAATGTACAGTGGAGTATACAATATTAATGTACGAACTGGCCAGAATTAACGTTAACGCTATCACGTGCAAGTGCATAACTCCTAAACTCAGGCCAGTTTGTACGTTAATATTGTACACCCCTACTGTACGTTAAGAATGCCCCTGGTCCTAACCTGTTTAATTCAGTCTGGGTTATATTTATAATCCTAGACCAGATTGAACC